TTGTACCCTTAAGACTCGCAGAACTCTGATTTCAGCCAAAAATGTCGTTGCAACTTTATCAGGTGGACCAGAGAAGTTACTTATTGGACTTCAAAAGCCTAGTGGATGATGAAAATTCACGTAAGTTTTCTCAGGGCTATCTCAATCAAAGCTCGGGAGCAGGTCTCGGAGCGTGATCTGGAAGTCGTTCCTGGGAAGAATAGCAAAAAATTGTGCGGAATTCGGAGACTCGAGAAATTCTAGTTTATACTTCTATTTTCGCCTTTTTCATTACTCACTCTAAAACCGTCTATAGCACACCTGCCACATAATTCAAACGTCCAAAAATCTGCTCCAAGGCTTAAGAGCGCATTTGCGCGGAAAAGTCACCACATTTTCCTTTCAAACCCTTTTCTCTAAGCGGATTGACGACGAATGGCCTCGAATTTTGGAACAAGATGCCCAACAAGGTGTTTAAGGATTGTATGTAAAAGCTTTGTTTTGTGAGAAACGCCGTTCCTTTTTGTGATTTAGGCCTTTGGCAGAGACCCACAGGAGGCCAGAGGTCTTCGATTCGCCAATACTTTTCTATTTTTATAATTTTGCTTTCCTTTTATCACACTTTAAACATTCTTCCTTGACTCAACTTATAGTGTAGTAACCAAATAAAAGCGCTTCCTCTATTACTTGTCGGGGCCCTACATCGTCTTACCTTAAGGAGGAAACGCGCCCCAAGCGCGGAGCGCTGCTACTTGTTGTTTGCACGTTACAGGTTACAAGGGGTCTTCACAATTTCTTGGGTTTTCAAGCAGACATTGTAGTCTAACCGGAGACACCTCATGCAGAGGCCTGATCTCGATCAATCGTGTCACCTTTGATTGTACTATCTTATGATATCTCTGAATTATAATTTCTTTTGCAAGTCAAAAACTTATTCAGCGGGGAGCGCATGTTCTTCCCGTCATGCATCTATGTCAATGCCATCAAAACCTGCTGGAATGCGAGCACGTCATGCTGTATCAATGGACGTAAGTACTTTTCAAGATTTTTTGCTGCCAGTTGTAAATGAGTCAAAAAATACGTAAAAGGTATTACCTAAAAAAATTAATGCTTTTGTTGACCTACTTAGAATGTGATTGTTATTTTGAGGTCTGCCTGCATATCATAAGGAATCTTGCGATTTCATTGTGCCGACGATGAGTTAGCTTTATCGTTAGTTGTCTAATTAGGGTGGCGGACTTTATGAACGATAGCTATTGCCAGCTGGTAGTTTGGGACGCGCTTGGTGCATAGCTCGTCGCACAAAATTTATCATATTTACTTTCTTCACCCTACTAGTACTTTGTTCAAGTTTGTAAAGCCTTCAAAAACTTCTAAAGATCAAAACAACATAAGCTCCGTAAGAAATTTATTCTTTTTTTTGTAAATTCTCCATAACTCTACCCAAGCTTACACTCACAGTTCCTTCGAATTTGGTCAGTTTTATAGAAAGATGTTCGATGTTTCGTACATAA